TAGTATTATATATGTTTTCGGGTTACTATGTTCAAAAATAAAATGTTTTTGTATTATTAGTATTATTACTATAAACTTTGGTCCACTCACGCATAGGTTTTTGCACCCCCTCAGGAGTTGGGATCGAGGCATATGATCTCAGCGTCAGGGCACTTCGGCTTAGTTATCCTCGAGTCTTCTCAGTGTAAGTATCATTTCCTTGTTCGTATCTTTTTATAGTCATTCCTTCATATTATTCTTAGTTAGTTGTATGCTCTAAGAACGTTTCTGCTTTGGTATAATCGTTCTAATTGCATATATTTTAGTTATACGGAAATGGCTTCATCACCCTCGGGTGTCTGCCAGCACGTGCCTACCTTAATATTTAGGAATATCGGGGTTGGGGCGTGTCAGTTTGGTATCAGAGCAAGGTTCGTTCAGAGCATACTTAGGATCTTCTCCTACTCTAATGATATGTCGGCCTTGATATCATTTGGATGTCATGGCTTCCGTTTGTTGACGTCTTTCGGCACGGTTGTACGATCCTCATTCTGCATGAATAGTCACATCCTATTGAAGAATAAGAAATCAGTGTTGAGATTGTGCCTCAAGTTTGACGTAATAGGTTATGAATGACTTTCAGCATCGAACCAATACTCTGCGTCATGCGTTCCCTAGAAATGGCGGCCAGAGTCGGTTCTACATAAAAATAACATGAAATAGAAAAGTCTTAATGAGATTAAGTCTAGTTGGAATCAATTGAGGATTGGAAATGAGGATGGGCATCTGCGATATGTGTTCCTTCTGAATGGCGGGCATAGGCATATTTGTCGGGAAATCGCTTTTGACATTGGAATTTTGTGTTAGAGGAAAATCAGGGAAGCACCAGTTGTAGGAAAATGTGAATATGTATCTATGGGATGGGTCGAATTAGCTTCCTCGGAACTGTCGTTTCTGCTAAAGGAATTCATGTGGACCCTCAGGAAATTTCTCAGTGATTACCTTACCGAAATATCCTTGTCTACTCCGACCACAACGTCAGTTATTATACATCCACAACTAGCTTTATATTGAATTCCTCAAATGTCGATCTTGATGAGAATTCGTACATTTCTTAGGAGACGTGAGAGTAGCAGAAGATATTCTTACGAAATCCAAGGTTGCAACAGTTGGAAATTGATAATCCTCTCGAGTGTCTTGAGTTACGAAATACCATTGGTTTTGTCAATTCCTATCGATAGTTGCCAACAATCCTTAACCATGATCCTATTTCCATTTTCTTTGGCTAGGAAACAAATCAGTTTTGTTCGAGTTGTTGCCTTACCCCATCATTGTTCTTATACTCTTCTATGACACCGATAAATTTCGAATGTGAAGGTGATGTTTTTCTGAATGTGTAGTTGTGCACTGATGCAGCATATCGGGTGATGAGTTTACTTTTCGACGGTTGAAACCACATGATGCAAACCGTCCTATCTACAACCTTTAGTCAGTTGCCATCATCCTGGTTTGGAAAATTAATGACACATCTTCGTGGAGAAACACGTCAAATCGTTATTAATCTCGCATACTTCCCAGATATCTTCACTCAAAAATAGGGAAGTCTTAGGGAGCAATGATGGTTAGGATATATCGATGTTTATGATTGCACCATCGCGTACCACCTCAATTGTGCAATTATAGTTACTAGCGACCACAGTAGAAAAATACATAGGTACCGAATGCTCTTCAATCAGTTCTATTTTCACCTTATAAGGAACCCTCGAGTACTTTTGTGATGTTACTCTTTGATTACCAAGAAACCTTGCTAGCTAATTTTCTACCTTTGGCCTGAGATGACAAATGAATTGGTTAGTCATTCGACATAATTCTTCATTTTTGAATTTGTCAGATTCCTTGATGTTTTGGTGTGCTTTGGCTTCGTTCGTAATCTCAGTTTCACCTCTGGCACTAAAAGATATCTTGGATAATCTTGGGTCACTTTTCTGTTCTCCATGTTGTTTCTGAAGTAGACAAACTGTCCAGGAGGACCACTCAAACATAGAAGCTTTTAGTTGAGGTCATCTATTTTCAATCACCCAATCAGCACCCTATCGAATGAATCTTCACCACTTGTGATTTATTATTCCTGGAGCTACCATTGTAACGAATTTTTGTAAATTTCAGTTTGGGGAAAAATCTAAATTTCCGCTCGTCAGTTTTTCATTAGACTATCATTCAAGTTGAGTTATCATTCAACCATTTCGATCGTTATCACGATCCAGTTAGATACTTACACGTATTCAAGCTTCGAAATAGTATATTCAATCTAGATATCTTGTACTTTAGATTTGATGAACTTGTTTTGACTCTCAATTTCTTGAGTGTTCTTTTAGCCTTCTCGACATGGTTTCTCGCTCAATCAGTGAGGAATTTACGATCGATCGATTCAACGGATGTGTGTGCCCAGTTTCATATCGATGCTAGCAGGAACAATTAGAGCATAATCTTCTCACGAGTTTACCAGATTTACCAAGAAGAGTTTCAAGTGGTCTTGAGGATTGAGTAGTCATTCAGCATGAATTTGGTGAATGTAGAAATGTAGGTTATGAGCTTGGCGATCGTGGCGTAAATTTCTATGTAGAGCTCGAGACTGCACTGTCATTCGAAAGATGTGGTCAAAGATATGGTTACTCTAATTCAAGCTTTCAGATCTATAGTCATGAAGGAAACATTTTACGATATGCATTTGTCTCTACACATCTTTTCACTACGTCACTTCAGGATCTTATTGTTCGTGGGAACATGGATGTCGTAGCACTTTTAGCAGCTTGATGGGTGAGCTCGGGGGTAGTACGGCAACACGATCGAGGAGTATATTGAACGATCTAGGCATATTCTCACGTAAGGCGCAAAATGGTATTTTGGTATCCTCGGGAATTCTCACTCGCTTACCAAGACAACTTTGGGTAATCTGCGTTACAGGCTGCAGATTGTAATATCGATGGCTTATTTGTTGGGTTCGATAAGCAAGTGGGCAAGACAGCTCGTCTACGGCAACACTTACTATTTAGCTATGGTTCAGACTCGACTCATGACATACACGCTCATTCTCGAAGTTTGTGACATGATGAATGCTTGGCAAAGTCTATTTTCATTTTGGGTTTTGAATTTTCATGCAAATATTTTTCTACTACATTATTTTATTTATATGGGTATTTTTGTCATTACAAATTTTGGGTGAGTTATTTCCACTATTGGTTTTAAACTCAACACAAGTATTTGAATCCTACATTTTTATATATATCTATTTTTGATATTTTATTATATATATATATATATATATTTTCCTTATGTTATTACGTAATAATTGGTGTTTTCAACCTTACAGTTTATAGTTTATACGAGTATTATGCTACTATATTATCGAGGAAGGAAGAAGGTATGAGCTTGGAGGAGTGAAAGAGGAATAATTGCAATCCGATTGCGACGGAATGACATTCTTTTTTATGCAGCTGCTCTAACTCGATTTCTTCCTTGTATATGTATTTATATACATATTTTCTCCCTATTTTTGAGTATTTTACATTTAACAAGTTATTTTAAAATTTCGGGGATGCAATTTTCTTAAGGGGGTAGATTGTAACGACCCGTCCCAAAAAAATTACGGTTTTTATAATTTTAAAAAGTGAAATTATGAAAAATGCCCTTCATGGAAAATGGGTTGATTTTATTTGACCACCTTGTCGTGTCAAATGCGTGGGTACTCGTCGCTACAAACGCGTGGGCGCAAACGAAACGTAATTTGGAGTTATAACGAATGAGTTATTAACGAACAAAGTCGATGGTAAAATGGTCATATGACCATAAATCTAGAAGGCTTCAGATTTTGTTGGAGCAATCAGTTGATACCATGTGTGTGGCTGAGATGGAAAAGAAAGGAGAGAAAATGAGGAATTGGACCACTCAGAAAAAAGGGAGGTGAAGAGTGACCAATGAGAAGAGAGAGCAAGGAGGGAAAGAAGGGAGGAGAGAAGGAGGGGAACCGTTCCCCTTGACCCGCGTGTCCCAATCATGTTCCCTTGGAATTTTCCGATGGTTTTCTGTTGATTTTTCCGATGAACCACGTCAAACAATCACCTGGGAACCACTCAACGCCCTTCTCTCTACCAATCCCACCTCAAAAATAGTATTTGATTACTAATTGTAAGGCAAGAATCACATAATTTTTTTATTTCTTTGGTGAGAGTATATACATGATAAAAATAAAATGATTTTCATTGTTCTCGTACACATTTCTGATAAGTAAACATAAAATACTATAATTTGGATGGAATAAGATAATCAATATACAATAATGTTTGTGTGTGTGTGTTTTTGTAAATTATTTTATTGATTTACAATGCCCAATGCTTGTAAATATATTGCTTTGGGTACAGAGAAGACGCTTAAGGGGAAAGAACATAAACTTAGACATGGGTGTAAGGTCAAATATTGAGTAGTATAGAGTTATAAGTCTTCATGCCTTCACTTCTAATTAATATCGGGATATTGCAACAAATCGACGGAATTACAATTTTAAGTTATACAAGGAAATGGTGCCCGTACGTTGCTGCGGGATTAAAATTTGTATCAAAAATTATATTTCAAACATATGACAGATCGTTGCACAGAAAATTAATAATATCTATGTTGACTATGTTTATGATGATGTTATGTTATATACAATGGTTTAGACTGATACATTCATTAAATTGCTATTTTAGGGCTCTGGTGATTATGGCTTGGCCTCTTTGTTGAGTCCGTTGATGAATTAATAAGTAGTTGTGAATTAGATCAAGTGAATGGAAAGAAAGAAATTGGTGAATTAGTAGATGTTTTATGTGAATAAATTAAATCAAGTAAGGGCGAAATACTAAAAATAAAAAAATAAAACTAATAAAAATAGCTTGAAAATTTTAAGTTTTAACGATAAAGACAAAATAAAAGGTAAAATGAATACTACCGAATTTGACTTTTTAGGATAAAAATGTGATTTTTCGTTATAATGAACAGTACCACGAACTTTTCGTTAAAACTTCCTAAAAATTGGAACTTACATTGAAGGCGGTTTTAAGAATGTCATTGTCGAAAATGGTAAAGCAGTTTATCAAACATCAGCATCTCAAGTGTTATGCTTCTGGAATAACAAAACAATACAACCTAGACAAAATCTTACATTTTTCACAGATGAGCCTCGACTATCAATGATGTCGTCTTGAAACCACTTCATACTCCCGCCACAAACTCATAGGAATCCTAAATTCCTAATCCTGCATTAACCAAAATTAAAACGATTATTCATATTCCTAATTAAAGAGGTCGCACTTGGTGCGATGGCAAATGCTTTCGCCCATGAGCGGTAGGTCTTGGGTTCGAGACTTGGGAGCAGCCTCTCCATAAATGGGGGTAAGGCTAGCCGACATTTACCTCTCTCAAACCCTGCGTAAAGCGGGAGCCTTGTGCACTGAGTACGACCTTTATTCAGATTCCTAATTAAAACTGCAAGAACCAAAATCTTAGTAACATGAAGAAGAAAAATACTACTCACACAACAATTAATAAATATAAAAACCAAAATACGTTCGAATCAACACAAAAACCCCAAATCTTATGGGAGCTTCCTTCTGAGAATCTCAAACTTTAGCCATTTCAAAATAAGTTGTTCATATTTCCTCAAATAAGTGCTAAATCCCTCAAAATCCAAATGAGTACTTAAAATATACAAAACTACATTTAAGTTAAGGCTATAGTGCACTAATTAACATTCAAAACCACAATACACCAAAACAAAGATGAATTCAACACCTTGAATATGTAAATATTCATATCTCAATCCAATATGAAACATAATTTTTGTCCTCAAAAACTTTGACCTACAAAACCCATTCCCAATTTTCAACAAAAAACAATTGATTTAAGTAAATACAATGCAGCAAAAGAGCTGTTCGATTTAGCTCCATTTAGTATGGCCAAAAGCTTGAAAAACAGCTTAGAAGCACAATTCCAAATATTACCAAAAGCAAGCAATTTTGGGGTACAGAGCCCACTTTCCCAACCAGTTGTTTAAGTTCATGCGAAAGAAGCTCAAATTGAGTGAATCACGTTAAATTCCAGTGAGTTATGTTTACTTTCGTGTTCCCATTTTCGCTTTTACAATTTTAAACTTGTTCTATCTACGCTCTAAAAGAACACATCAACAGCAGTAAAATTAATCAGAGCAAAATAGCATAACATACAACCATGGAAAAATATGTAAGAGAAGGGAAAAACCCCCGAAAATATATATAGTTAGGGATTCGAGCTTAACCTGGGTTCTGGGCGATTTGGACAGGAGGAACTTTAAATTCCTTGCCCTTCACACTTGAGATATGGAAAATTAGAAGAAGGTTAATAGTAGTGATTGATCATATGATATGTAAAATTAACAACCACTGAATTTAATTGTGCAAATTAAGATGCAGAACAGACAGAGGATCTTCTACAACGACGCATTTTAAATACATGCGGGGAAGCTTCCTCTCACGCTGCAGGTATCTTCCTCTCACTTGAAATAGTAATTAATTTAAAAGCATTATTATAACAAAAACTGCATGCATAAACACGCTAGAAATTCACCAAGACCCACAAAATCAGCCAAAAGATACAAAATAGGGGAAAAAAGCTAAATCTGGAAGAAATAAAAAAAGGGGGCTGAAAAGAAAAGGAAAAAGGGCGTTAAGGGAGTAGCCAAACAGCTCCGAAAGCAATTCAATAGTTGATAACAACCCATTTAAATTGAACCCAAAAAGCTTCTACCATTTAAAATTCACAGAACACAATCTATACAGTCGGAAAGGAAACAGTCCCAGATGCAAGATTAGAAGAACTCACCGCAAAACTGTCCACTCTGAGACTAAGAGAGGTGAGAGAAGAGAGCAAGAGACAGCAGACGGCTGGAAAAGAAGAGAACCAAATGTAATGGGAAAAATATTCGATTAAAAGCAGTGAAAAGGAACTGAAAAAGAGATAGGGACGATGACAGACGCGTGGAAGTGAAGGGCACAACCGTCCTTTAACTGTGGAAAACAGGAAAGAAAGCGAACAGAAGGAAAATTTTTAAGGGCAATTTCGCCACTTTACTGTTAATAAACAGTAACTTGTGTTTGGGTTTTAGTATATATAAACTAGAAACTTCAACCCGCGCGCTGCTGCAATATTGAAAATTGTATGGAAGATTATGTTTGAAAGATATTGAAGATTGTGTCATAGAAAATTAATCTATTTACCAAATTGTGAAAAGAAGCTTTCCTACCCATATGATATTCAAACTGAAAATTTTGAGTGATAAGAGAACAATCCATCAGTTGTGCAATGGAAAACATAGCATTAGAACAAATCCAACAAAGGAACAAAATTACAACAAACCTTCATTAACTGTGGATGGAATACTAACAACAAAATTTTCTTTGTTTTGAAATCATTGCCAAAGAAACTCATGAACAGTCATCATCTCATAAGTTGTGCCCACTGCAATAGGTGTCCCCGAAGCAGCACATAATTATGTAAGCAAAAAAAAAAAAAAATCGTAAAAGACCATTGATATCAATTTTCAAAATACAAACATCTAAGAAGCTTAAACCTGAATCAAATGTCACTATTCAATAAAAATAAACTCAATATTTACTAAATGAATGTAGAACTTGTATTGCATAACATGCCTACTTCATTTAACTGCTAATAAGAGGAACAATTCCTTATCTATATGGATGTTAAAAGGAACATCAATTCCATAGTGTGTCCATTGCTTTCATTCTCAAGCACACAATACAAATAAACCAACGTAGGATTCAACTCTTAAGTGAACTAATCAGTGTCATTATATATTTACTAATTGCTATAACTCAAAAATGTGGAATTGTCTTCAATTTTTTTCTCGATTCTCTATATAACCAATCATAGCAAAAGAAGGAAGAGGATGATGCTTACCTGCTTCTTGTTGATCACATGCGTGGCTTGAATACTACTTATGCCATCCATGACCAGAGCATTAAATGTAGTTTCTCCGTTCTCATCTGAACTCCCACTAAGCCCAACTGTTCCAATAACATCATATATTATTATTTCTTATAGTAGTTATCAAACCCATCAACATTCCAAATAAGAAATCACAAAATTAATTACATAATTCAGGAGAAGGTTTTAACATACAAAGAAAACAAAACTTACTTTCGGTTATGATTACAACCTTTAAAAGCTCAATTCATTAGGATCACACAATTTAAAAACTCAATTCATACATACATTCTAATATCATTTGAGGTTTCCACTCCCATAAGAAGTGATACTGAAATAAGCTACATACTACGATTGCCATTGGTAAGAAACTATTTGTCCTGGTTTTTCAAGCACACCACGAACTAAGATCCTAATAGTTAGACCACGGTTGGTAATTCATTAATTCGTTTATATCATAAATTTTGTGGCCAAGCCGAGAAGCAACAATTTTTTTTGCCATCTTCATCTTCTGTACCATGAACTTTCGACTCAAAAAAATTGTCTTTCTCCCTGCCTAATGTGTAATTCCAATGCACACAAACACTAACTAACCAATCAATTCATATGGATAATGCAAACGTCAATTTCCTAGTAACATTGTTCTTATATGAAGATAAAATCAACTGAATCCAACAATCCAAGAACTAATTCTACATGTACCATCACATTTGAGTTCCTCGCAAGTCAAGAAACCCTCAACGACGGAATCCATGATGGAGAACCCATTATCCATAGCCCGCCAGGATGCTCTAATAGCCTCTACGAAGGGCCATGTGCTCACCACCACAGGGTACTGCCCATAATTCGAAGCTTCGTGGCCTATGACCTGATAACCCATCAATAAAAATATGATCTTTAATAAAATAATACCACCCAATCACGCATGTAATGAAAGAACCAACTTTTTCCTCTTTAAATCAGAAAAACTGAACTAAAATTATGCTCAGTTTCTAGGTTTCCTTGCTTTTTAATTATTTTTCTGAGGAAACGAATAGAAAGTAGGAAAATGATGAGATGCAGAAATTGAAGAAAACAAAACCGTCAGCTTTGAAAAAAAAAAAACTCCCAGATGCAGGGTTCAAAGAACTTACCAGAAAACATTAGCCTTTTTGGCTAAAAATCATCTTCAATCCAAATAAAAAAGCTGAAGAAGCTTAAAATGCTTCGGTTTTAGTTTTGAAATTTTTACAAACTGGGTTCAATTTACCGCATAGAAAATTCAACAATACAGAAAAATCCATACCTTTAACGCCAAAAAAACCTTCACTATATGAGAGGTCAATCTGCAACACAATAAATTGATCACATCAAACGTAAGTAGATATAATCAAATCAAATTAGAATATTGATGAAGAAGAAATGAAAAGAAGAGGGTTACTCTGCTATGCGTTCAGGATCTTCCTAGAATCAAAACCCCAAAAGACTAAAACGAAATTTGCATTGAAAACCCATTCGGAATCCAAATTTACATCCTTGAAGTAGTTGGAGCAATTCAATTGATAAACACCCAAAACACAGTAAACCAAAAATGAAATATACAAACACAGAAAAATAAAAACAATCTAAAAAAAATCAATTAAAAGAAAGGATTTGAGATATGAGAGACATACATACCTTGCGGGCAGGCAGTGATGGCTGATGGGTAGAGGCATTGATTCTTTCTGGGAGAAAACGGGAAGAAGTATATGCGAGAGAGTGGAGATTATGTTGTATTTATACGTGGTAATTGGTAAAGGCAAGAGGGATCTGAGGAAAAATAGAGATGAAAAAAATACCCAGGAGAAGGAGCGGAGGAGAAGCTGGCCAACGGAGGAGGAGGAGGAGGAGGAGCCTAGAGGGGAGATGTTGTCCGAAGAAGGAAGAGGGATGAGATGCTGTCGAACAAATTGGTTCGCGGTTCTGAGAGAGAACTGAGAGATTCTTCTGGAAACCAATGGAAAAGCCGATAGCTTGTCCCTTCCCAACGATGACCAACACGTGTACATCAGGGGCTGTGGAAAACACGAAAAAAGACTGAAGGTGGGCAGCATGGGCGAAACAGAGAATTCACTGTACTAAAAAGCCAAACAGAACGATAAAGCATGAAGTAGCCGAGGGCAATTCTGACATTTCACTGTTCACGAACAGTGAAAACAGTGCCAATGAAATCGGGGTTTAGTATATGTATAATGTGTCACACCATTCATACGTGTACGTAGGCCTGACAATTCTTGACACGACACGACATAAAATTAACACGTGTTCAAGTCGACATGATATCGAATCGGGTCGTTATCGGATAACCTGATAATCACCTGTTAAGATAATGGTCGAGTATACACGCGGATAATACGATACACGATAAGTAAAATATTAGTTTAATAATCTAAAAAAATATTATAATAATTATATATATTAATTTAACAATTTTATACCCTTAAAAACTATAATATATATATATATATATATTACATTAAATTTAGAAAATTGGTGACCACTGGATCGGCTGGGATTTAATCTTAGATGTCCTCCATTGTGCATTAGGTTGGAGGCTATCCTTCTCTTCTATCTCATTCACTCTGATCTCTCCAGTCCAAACTTACTCCCGCGCCGTCTTCTTAATCCGCATCTCTCTCGTATCCTCCTTCGTTCACTTCCTTCAACTCGACTCCAGCAGCCATAAGAAAACCACACACATGCAAGCACACGAATGTATGAATTTTGTATTTTTGGGTATTCTGCGTTTTTTTTCAAAAACTAGTGATTTGGGGTTTTCGTTAAAATTAAAACTAATGGCTGGGGATTTTTTGGGTTTGAGGTTTCTGAGGTTTTTTTATTTTGGAGATTCTGGAGTTTCTGGGTTGGGGCATGTTTACAAACATTCAAAACAAACCAATGGTTGTGGCATGTTTGCAAACTTTTGAGAAAGGCTTCACATCCTTGAAAACAAAAACTTTTTCATTTTGTATATCCTTGCACATTTAATATTTTGTAATAAACTAGTAGTGTATGAATGTTTTTTTTATTAGGCTCTTATTTTCGAGTGTAGATGTAGTACTTAAACGAAAAATGTGTTTTAATGTTTTGAAGTAATATTTATGTTGTAATGTGCGGTATGTGCAAATTTAAGAAAAAAATATATTTTTCTTAACGGGGTCATAATGGGTCGGGTTGGGTAAAGTGACCCAACCTGTTAAGGACCCATCAAGATAACAGGTGTTACATAAAAACGACACGAACACGACATACACAACCCGTTTGCCAGCCTACGTGTACGTGTGTGCGCATCCAAATCAACCTACTACTCTTAAAGTAAAAAATAATATTGGTCTCCACAGGAACAAAGGTATATATAATTAATATCTTACCATCTTAGTCAAGCAGGTTTGTTCCGATCTAATCACGTTATTTGTATTTGACGTTAGTTTGTTTAAGTTATTAATTATATGGCTTCATGTCAAATAATGATTTAGCCTTGCTAACTTCCTATTGGGACTTCATACACAACTAATTAAGCTTTCATACCATCTTTCAAAGCTAGGTTAAATCCAAGAGCATAAGATAAGAAATAGGAACTAATTAACATCGTATATGTATAAGCAAACAGGCACAAAAGTGAACTTGATAGATGCACGTTTTAATTAATATGGCCAACTGAGAAAAAAAAAAAAAAAAAAAGAGGAGAAATTAAGTTATCATCTCTCGTTTTACTACTTTATTGATTAAAACCTTATTCCTTTTCAATTTTTTATCAAGGTTCTTAGGTATTAATAACATCATTAATTATGTAAATAATAAAATATTTTATATATTTTTATTTTCAGTTTGTACCCCATTTTTAATTTGCAACCCTTTTTTAATTTGTACCAATTTTCTTTTCAGTTTTAATTTGGACCCATATATTACTTTCTTTTTTTGTCCATATTTTTTAAAGTATTTGTATTTGTACCCATATTTTTTTTTTTACCCATTTTTAATTTTGCTAAATGTACCCATGCTAATTATATGTATTTATTTTATGTTTTAAAATATATCAGTAGTTATTTTTAAAAATATGTTAATAATTATATGGGTACATTATTTTCTTGCTATACCTTTTTGAAGAATAATCTAATATTTATTTTGAAGTATTTATTATATTTTAAAAATATTATTTGAATTTGTTTAAATTTCATAATTTATGGAACATTAAATGCATAAATGCATGAGTTAAATCTCTTAAATGATGTTAAGGACCTTGATCAAAATATTTATACAAACAAGGTTTCAGTCTAACAATTAGGTTGATTAAAGACCGGAACCAAGATGACCCAAAAAAAAATTTTTAATGATCGCTTGAACACGCAATAGTCCAAGGCAAAACCTGTTTTCATTCAACAAAGCGAAAGAGTCAAAACATACAATTTTCCCACAAGTCGGCATGCAATTATCCCTACCATTATTAGTACTCAACTCCCTGATAAGAGGATTGATAAGTTGAGCCATGGGGCTCGATATCCACGGAATAGGATCCTCTCCCAGGCAAATCTTCGAGATCCTCTTGACCCACTAATACGGACCGTTCGATTTTGATCCAATGACCCACATGACACGAAGATTAATTGATGATGATTATATGGTCCATCACCAACTTGAATATCATCTTACAAGATCAAAAAAAAAAGTGAGAATTATTATTGCGTTTGGAAAGAGATAATGATCAGTACTAAGACTAGCAGTAGTACTCCACTCATAGTCACCATAGTTGAATATCAGAGTGTAGAACGAACAAGACTAACAAAATAATAAGAATATTATTAAACTAACTGAGAATGCCGAAACTGCTACAAAACCCTAAGAGACTACATTGTGAATGTCTTGTTCTCTAATGAATAACAAAGCACCCTATTTATAATAAACTAACCCTAATCTCTAACAAAACCTAATTCTAACAGGCTAAACCCAGAAAACCAAACATTCAAATAAACCAAAATGCTAATATTTTCCAACACCCCCGTCAAACAGACAGGTAGGCTTTGCAATGCGGACAGACAGGCAAGCGGTTCAAGCGAGAAAACGAACAATCTAAGCGAGTAGGCGAGCAAGCGAACAAGCAATTCCAGCAATCAACAAATTCTGGCAACCAAACATTGGGAGTATGGACTTCGTCACTAAACGGACAGATTCCCATACCCCATTAGCAACAACAAACATCAAGAGCAAGTTATTTTCATGTTATCCGTGTGGGCCTCAAACTAACATAAAACAATAGCCCAACTCAATAAGTTTGGCCCATCAACAAATTCATTCTCTCGGGCCAATCCAACTAGTGGCTTGGTGGGTTCGAGTCGCAGGATGCAGCACAACAAATGCAAGTTTGGCGGCGTGACAGGGTTGGGTCCAAGGCAGCGGGAGGTTCATCATATCCGATCCGACGCGACGCACAGGGAGCAGTGGTGGATGGTTTAAACAACATATGCACAATGATGATCTCAGTCAAGCAGAGACTGATTTCAGCAAGTTTGCAACAACAAGTTTGCAGGGACAACAGATGGCGGTGATTTGGTGTGAGATCCTAGAGACGTGGTTCAGGATAGATCAGCAGCAACGGCATATGGGTTTGGGTTCTGATGATGGAGTGGTGGTTCCAACAGGACAAGGGTCGGGCCAGCCAGATGTGGCAGCGGGGATGCAGGTACAGTGTAGCAGCGGATTCAACAGGTCATGGTGCGGACGGCGGTGGACAACGACGGAATCGATTCAAGTAATGGAGTCGTGATTGTGGGGCGGCGAGGTGGAGCGACAGCTGTGCGGTGGTAACCTGATGCGGGATAGGAACAGTGTGCGGCAAAGTACAACAAAGCTTCAACAATCCTCTTTTTGTTTTTCTGCTAACTAAACCAACGACAATAAACTAGCATACATACATACTGACAAACATATACCAACCCAACCAAGCAAATTAAATCCCAAAGGATTGAACTTGCTTTGATACCAAGTTGAATATCAGAGTGCGGAACGAACAAGACTAACAAAATAATAAGAATATTATTAAATTAACTGAAAATGCCGAAACAGCTACAAAACTCTAAGAGACTACATTGTGAATGACTTGTTCTCTAATAAATAACAAAGCATCCTATTTATAATAAATTATCCCTAATCTCTAACAAAACCTAATTCTAACGGGCTAAACCCAGAAAACCAACATTCAAATAAACCAAAATACTAATATTTTCCAACACCCTTTGCCATATATATATACTTCTAGACATGAACAGTGAAAAAAAATTAATAGTAGATATCGTGATTAAGCGAAGATAATGGTACTTTGACAATGCCACCCCACTTAAAACTCCAAAACAAACTTTATTTATCTAACATACATGTTTATATACTACTGTGCTTGTAAATAGATATTTCTCTGACTTGGACGGACTGATAACATTCTTATATGATATTATATATTATATGATATTGGGTTGTTCAGTTATATAGGACCGTTCGGCACGTGGCACAGCGTGTCTGAGGATGACAACGATGATGATTATTGTCGATCGAAATTCCACAGGTCGATCTCGCTGTTGTTGTAGTCGTGTGTGGCATGGTAGGTGTTGGATGAAGACAACGATCCTCGTAGGGTACTTGGTAACTGGCGTTCATGATCATGATCATCGTTGTCATAAGGGTCAGTGATATTGAAACAAGTTAACTGCCTAGAGGTCTCAGTTTGTCCATTGAGTTGTGAAGCCACAAGGCGGTCAAGAGCTGCCCAGTTGGTGATTCCTGAGTCCATGTGGTGTGCATGGTAATCCATATTTTGGTGATGATCAGTAAAAGGACTCACCGGGTTGTTATTATTCTCTGTGACCATCATCCCCTCATGAATGTTTGGTTGGTAACAATCCTGGCTGCTTGTGGAGTTTGGGCTGTCTAGGGTCGGAAGTTTCAAGAACTTCTCATGGAAGCCATTGTGATTACTAGTATTACTAATGCCTGTGTTGTTTGGTTGGAGATTAAATCTTGTGCTGTTATTGTTAATGTAGGCTTCATTCCCTTCTTCATTGCATGTCCTCCCCATGTAATGAAGTATCGGCTCCAAAGCTCCCTCGGGACACGAATCAAACAGTGATTGGCCATTTCTTGTTTCTGTTGTGATGGATGTAGTAGTATTCAAGATTGGGCTGCTCAAAATTTTGTGGAGGTTTTTCTTCTTGAAAACTCGGCAAACCACCCATCCCTCCTCTTGTGCTGCATCTCCCACAACAGTGGGTACCTGATCATATGAATAAAACATACATAAGCATCTTTTGTTGTCAGATAGATGGTTGGATTTCCAGTTTTTGAACCACACATTTCATTATTCGTAGTAGTCTAGAAAACAAGGAACATCTACATGGAGAAAAAAATGAACATGTGAAAATCATTTCTCATTAAAAATAATTGTAGGGTACTGAAAATGGCTTACATTAGTGATATTGCAATTGCTAGTATTATTGTCGTCGAGTCTATATTCATGCATGATCCAATCAGACTTTTGGCCATGGGGAGCTCGGCCTTTGTAGAACACAAGAGTCTTCCTCATACCGATCCGCCTGCAGTTGCTACATATCACTTTATCACGGCCAGTTGCCTTCCAGAATCCAGCAGCAGTTGCACGATTTGTTCGTATTCCAGTCGGGTACTTCTTGTCTTTATGGCTGAAGAAATACCAATCATTCTGTGGTGCAGTTCCTATCTTACACTTCTCTGCAAAAATTCCATTAAAAACATTGGTTCATATGAATAAGCAATTAGTTTCAAATATAAAATGGCTACATAGATGTATACGTCTTATTATATATATACTTATATATATGTATATATGTATATATGTACCTTGTATATCCCATGGCTCAAGCTTATTGAGATCGACTTCACGTATGACATCGAGATCGATCCTCTGATTTGAGACCTTCTTCTTCAAATAGTACTGCAAGAGTTCCTCTTCGGTTGGATGAAACCTGAAACCAGGAGGGACTTGAGATTGCCCATTTACAAATATGCTCATGTTTTCAGGCGCCATTTTGATTAACAAATATTAAAGGTTTCTGAAATCTTTTTTTGAAGAATCCAAAAGAATATAAAGTAGTTAAAACGATGCGATGGAGTAATACTGAAGAGAGAGAGAGAGAGAGAGAGAGAGAGAGAGGAGGTAATAACAACAAAGTTGGTGTACGCAAAGAACAATGTGGGGAGGACTATATATATACGTTGTGGTGAGAATATATATGAAAAAAATTCAAGCTTTTGGTTCTCATAGGACACGTGTACAGATGATTTTTTCAAAGTGTAGGGTTTGTTTCATTATGTTATGAGAAGGGCCTCTCACCTTGCATTACACGGAAGTGGAAAGACGTGGGGTCCATGGATGTGGGCTTCAACAAGGGGTCCCACATGTAGGACCGTGTTGGAAACTAGCTTTAGTGTAGGGTGCAAACTCACATCCACGACTGAGACCCTCTACAACTGTGACCCTCGACCTTAAAAAACTACGTCGTAAACAGCCACGGTCCATTCTCTCTCTCTCTATCTCTCTCTCTCTCTCTCTCTCTCTCTCCCGCCCCCTTTTTCTTTTGTGCAACCACTGTGACAAAGATAGTGGGTATGTACGTAGGGATGGAGGCAGATTGTCTGCATTCTGTTTAGATGCTTTTTTCATCATTTTTTATTTTGTGCGGTCACATTTAAATTACGTCAACATTTTATATTAAATTCTTTATATATATAATAAAACAAAAAACAATAAGAATATAAAATGTTGACGTATCTTAACCGTAACTGCACAAATTGGAAGAGATGGGAAGAACACCCAAACAGGAGGGCAGACAATCTGCCTCCGATAGGGATTGCTCTTTCATGGCCCATTAGAGGAGACAGATAAAAAGAAAAACTAATGAAAAAAATTTGAAAATTTTGAGTTATAATGATAAGGATAAAATAAAGGGTAACGTGAATAGTACCAGAATTGACTTTTTAGTGTAAAATATGATTTTTCGTTAAAATAAACAATATCAGAAACTTTTCGTTAAAATTTACAAGATACAAATATGACATGAAGAAATGACATTAGCCGAGCTTCTAGAGAAAACCCTATGATTGTAAATCTCATATTGTAACGTGCAAACGGCCCTTAGCTCAAAGCTGCTTTAGTTTTCATATAAACCAATAATACTTATGTACTCACTAATTACCACTAAGTACTCACTTTCTGATTAAAATCTAATAAAAAATGTAATGTGTTTCTTAATTTTTAAGGTCGCCCTTAGCTCAAAGCTGCTTTAGTTTTCATATAAACCAATAATACTTATGTACTCACTAATTACCACTAAGTACTCACTTTCTGATTAAAATCTAATAAAAAATGTAATGTGTTTCTTAATTTTTAAGGTTCAAGATAAATGCATAAGATGTCCATTATTTTTAAAACAATCAAACATGCTAAAATATCATTGGATAGAATTAAAAATAGAGTACTCGCTAGTGAGTAACCAAGTATTATCCTTTATAAATGGTCTGTGGTTGCTCTTGAGTAAGGGTAGGAAGTGCAACTGTCCATAACCTCTATTCAAGGGGCATCAAAGTTTTTATTGTTAATATGTATACATGTAAATATTTAATATTAGAATTTTTTTAGAGTTTTTTATACAATGATATATTTACACTAAAGGATGAAGAAGAAATTAGTTGCGAACTCACCATTTTCGAGATTCGAACCTAAAATCACTCATTCACAAATAAAAAGAATATCACTAGATTGTAGTAATCTCAAACTAGTTATTTATTAATAGAACAATTAAAAAAAATTAACTATAATATACGCTTCTCTCTTTCACAAACCTAGCGTGCATTTAACATTCCTTATTCTTTTTTATCTTCCATTCTCTCTTTTTCAATCTTGCTTTTCATATATCCATGAAGCTCTCTTTAGTTATGCGAAAAATAAGAAACTAATAAATATGTTATTCGATTGAAGTTGTTGAAAAATTACTTGCAGTCTACTATGACATAGAAAAGATTAAATGGACGGCCATCTTGGAGAAGGAAATTTGTTGGAAATGCTTGATTTAAAATTTTGAATGATGATTTTGCCTCTAGGAACACTAAAAGAATAAATTTTTATAAATGTGTGCTTAATATTTATATTAGTCGAACTATTATGATTTAGGCCTTGAAAAGAGACATATCTATGGAGACAGACAATTTGTACTTTTTATTTTTCTTGAGAAAATAATGGGTCAAAAAATGCCCCAATTTAATCTTTAGCCCTAGGCCACTAAAAATTCAAGAACTGCCTCACATACACCTGTCTTGAAAGCCAAAAAAGATATTATATCTATTCAAGGCGTATAGTGAAATTCTGCTATGTAAGATATATGACACACCTCGACTCGGAATGTTCACTAGGATTTCGAATCGAGCTGTGCTGGCCGACACTAGAAATGTGACGAAGCCATAAAGTGCAGTTATATGGAATATGTGAATAAATTTAAACCTAAGAGTTCCTAAAATATCAGAGTACGCTGGTGAACGGGTATGCACCCACTTCACATGTGTCGTCAAAGCATAAATAAAGTACAGTAGTGTGGGTAAAGATCATACCCTCAGAGGTAGCCACTTATACTAGATTCGCCATGAATCCTCGTCGATACGAACTTTCAACAGCTAAAACCTGGAAGGGGCGCAAAACAAAAAATGTGAGTGAGCAAAAACAAAGCTTAAAAAAAAAACTATTTATCTTTCCAAAAAGTAATAACCCCTCACCGTAAAACCTATATAATTTCCCAGAAAATAATACTACATACATATATAAGAACTATGCTCGAGAGGAGTGAAACCAGGTGTATGTCATGTCAATCAGAGGAGTGAAACCAGGTGTATGTTATGTCAATCATCTCAACAACGAATAAGCAAGCCAGGTGAAATGAATCAATATAAAATGACATATTAGCCGGAGTCACTTAATGTGACCTGTACGGCTGAGTCCATTGCTCATCAATCAAATCCTACACATGAATCAGAACCATCTAATGTGGTCTGTATGACAGGCTAGGTGTAAATAAATACGTTCAAGTGCTACGATCACGTGAAGGCTGTGCAAAGTATCGCAAGCCACCTACGAGTTGGAACCACCTAATGTGGTCTGTACGACAAGCTGACACTTGCCTTGGATCCAAGGTGAGATTATGGTGCGGGAGGTGAACAATCACGTGAAGGCTAGGCCTTGGCCATGGGCAGAGCACTAACACCAGGGTGCAGGATATTAATCACTAAATGCAACTAATCATAATCATACACACCACCATTGTTACCATCAATATATACTCACTTGAAGCTTACTTGTGCGTTCGCAGCATCATGCAACATTATGCATAACTACACTAATACATATACTAAAATATAACGCAAGTATGACATGGCATTTCAATCACATTTCATTTAAAACAATTTTTGGGAAAAACGTAAAGCATACATACGTATATATAGAAAACCAAAAGCCCACTCACCTGGAGTCTGGGCTACAATTTCTTAGCACAAACTTATAGGCGTCACGAACCATCGATGCCTAGAACAATTATCAAATCACATTTCAGAATCCTTACTGATAGAACACATAATTTACATAAAACACATCCCCAAGGACGATCTAGAATGATTTGAGACCCATTGACCAAAAGTCAACCGTCGGTCAAAGATCGACGATAGGATCCACAACCCTACATAACTCGATCCGGAAGATCCGCATTTCAGATTTCCGATTCGTAACTTCCAAAGATATACATTATGCTTCTAGAACAACATACTAATGTTTCATTACGATCCAACCGCCAGATTTCTGCCAATTGCAAATTCAAGTGGCAGTTAACGTTTTATTTTATAAACTTACAAATCCAATTTAGGAAGATCCATACGTTGGATTCCCAATCTGTAAGTTCCTACATTCCTCAAATATTACGAACTATAACATATTAAAGGTTAGTGATGATCCAATGGTCAGATCGTCGATTGCTATAATATTCCAGTGGTGGACCTTAACGAAATTTTGCCGGATTCTGCAGATTTTCTGGGCAATTTTTGGAACTCCATATCTCACTTGTTTGTTAACCAAATTCAACCCATAATATGCCAAAACGAAGCTAGAGAAGTGTAGAATATGATTATACATATTTGGAGTCCAAATGGTTGCCGGAGAAGGCCAGGAAATGGCCTGAAAGACGGCTGTCCGCAGGAAAACAGAGAAATTCGCCAGAATTTCTGGGCAACCTTTCAACGTCCATAACGTTATCAATACTCAACGAAATCAAGTGATTTAAAAACAGAAATCATATTTCTCGACGAGACAAAGAGATTGGTACCTTACACGATGACTATCTCGCCATGATTTTGCCGGAAAACGCCTCAAAAGTGGCGGAGGTAGTTAGAAACTGGGCAAACTTTAAATCGTTATAACTTTCTCATTTCTCCACCAAATCACACGATCCAAAAATGAAAATTCATCTACACAACATGAGGAATTGATTTATACCTGTTTTGAGTTCAAAAGATGACTGATAATTGTCTGAATCACGCGTAGAAATCTCGGCCCAAAACCTTGTTCTTCGAACTCCAGGTTAGGATTCGTTTTCAATGAAACGAAAGTCAAAACTGGGTTTATGGTGGTGAAGACATGCAGATAATGGTGGTTTTGATGTTCAACAAGCCGAAATTTTTGGTGATGATGATGGTTTGTTTCATCGGAGAATGGGAGAGCCGAGAGAGAGTTAGAGAATGAGCATCCCATTATGACACGTGCACAATTTAAACTCAAGTTATAGAAGTTAAGACTACATTATTGCCTTGTCATAAAGGCGCATCAAAATTTTAGTTTTACCTGTTTAATTAGGTTGTTATTTGTTCGTTAGCCTTCTAATTAGTTGGTTAAACCAGTGCGCATGTGCTATGAATTATCATTTATAATGTTATTCATTGTTTCTAAGGAAAATTAATGAAAAATACTTGAAAACTTTGAGTTTTAACGATAATGACAAAATAAAGGGTAAAATGAATAGTACCAGGATTGACTTTTTAGTGTAAAAATGTAATTTTTCATTAAAGTGAACAGTACCGAGAGTTTTTCGTTAAAATTCCATTTTTCTATCCATATTAGAGAATACGAAGTGTTAAGT